ACTTGATTAGAGTAGGACATTCACTGAAGAAAATTTCCAGGCAAATGGTTGGAGATATTGGTCATTTTTCGACGATTCTCATTAACTTTCATGAGGAGATTACTTCATAAATCAGACAAACTAAAATTGTTTGACATGAAATCTTTATTGATGATAGAAACAGCACTAAGCGTTGAATGAATAATCTAACGTCATGAGGTTTGTTATCTATGTTGACCTTCAAAACTCCTTCAATTGAAGGTCGATTAAGTCCTGATTAGTTCTTGAGATCAAAGTTCAATATTCTCTATTTGAAATCAAAATATGAGAATAAAGGATTCAAGTTTAAGTACTTTTTGCAACTACTGTATTTGCAGCTTTTGTATTGAATGGTTTTGAATAGTAGTAGATTGAGACATTGGATGTAAGTGCTTCTAATAGACTTAATGCTTTTCTGTTCTTTCGTAAATGTACAACTGTTGCGCTCATTCAATACCTCTCATCAATAGCTACAAAGCGATAGAATTTGTTTTTTGATAGAACCTTCTGTTCAACAGAAAAACCAAAGTACTGAAAATTTGTATGTATTTTCAACTTTTTTTTTTCTTATGAGTAGAACTGAATAAAAAAGTTAATTATAGGCGTTGATACGACACGTCGAATGAATCTTATGATTGTATATTTATATTAGAACAAAAAAAAGTATATTCTGACATAATTTCTTTTTTGTCTTGGAATCTATTTCGATTTTCCGAATACAAAGAAAAAACATAAATACAGATGAGTATTGCTTCGATTAGATTTCAAATAATCTTTTGTTGAATGCAAATGATTAATATTGTAATAAAGATCATAGTTTTTATCCTATAGTACGTATTTTCCTATTATTTTCTTTAGAAAAGTGTATATTCAATAGGAATAACGTGTAAAGATCAAACAGAGTCTCGTTAGTCAAATTCTCTATAACCTATGAAAACAATATTCAGATGCAGAACTTGAAATTTTCTTGTGACTAGAAACCTTTCATGAGAAGATCTCGTATAATCTGAATCAACTCAATTAAGGTTCCTTCCTTCTCAGAAATCGATCTTTGCCCTAGAACAACTAGTCTGGCTGAAAATTCTAGAGAATGTATATTCGAGTCTTAATACTTCATAGTAAAAATTTTGACCTAATATACTAAACTGTTGATAAGTTGTCCTAACACCAAGGATTAAAAAGTAGGTCTCTGTGTGAGAAGGATTTCTGGTTAATTTTAAAATGCAGCGAAGAATTATCTCTACAACTTAACAGAGTCAAATATATCAAAATATTGTTTGTTTCGAAAAATTCGAGTTTTTCTACGGAAAAACATTCATGTTAGGAGTTGAAAATAAAAATTCCTCCAGCTCTATTAAATCGTAGAACGCAATTTTCTTTTTAATTTAAAATCTTCCCGAACTTTCTAGAATGTAAACGTTGAGGGTTATTCAACCGTATCAGAATCAGAAAAAAAAAAGTTTTTTGTCAATAAAACATCTTGTTTTAAATAAAACTTCTACAAAATAATAAAATATTTTTAGTGCTCAACAATTAACAATTAATCTTCTTGAAAAATTGACAAAAACTGTTGTGATTACATATGATCAACTTAAAACTGGCATGTTACGTTTATTTGATGATATAGAAGATATTCATTTAGATGTTCCTAATGTTTATGAACAATTACAAACTCTTCTTAAACAATTAGAAGATAAAAAAATTCTTAATCATGATATAACATCAAATGCACCACAAAAGGGTCGAAAACGTGTTACAAGTGAAAATGAAAATAATAGACAAGATAAAAACTAAGATTAAAAAGAAAAATGTAAGTCTATATATTTATAAAAAAGTTTGATTTTATTCATTAATTTTCTTTTTTTTAGCCAACATACAACATCAATGCGACTCTTTTAATCAAGATGAACAGTTTAAAAAAAATTTCTACTAACAGCGTATAACTTTGTTTGTTTGTTTTGTTCTAAAACTTGTTCACAATTTACCACTTGAGTCGCATAAACAAAAAAAAAGAAAGAACTAGATTTTTTTTTTTGGATAAAAACAAATAAATTTAGACACATGCAATGGTGAATTGTTTTTTTTTCTATGCAGAGTATTCTTCATTCTTAAAGTCAACATTTATCGTTATTTTTTTTTCTTTTTTCTTTTGTTTTGATAATTGATTCGTGATTATGTGTTGGAAATATATCATCAACTTAAAAATCTATAAAAAAAAAAAAGCAACACAAACATCGAATGATCAAAACTTAGTGATATTTATGCTTTTTGTTCAACATATATATATACACATATATCATTCATTTATTCTTTTATCAGGAGACATCATTAAATTATAGTAAGAACTTAGGATGATTGTATGTGTGTATGTATTTATGATTTTGTTTTTCTTCTTTCCTTGGGTTGGGTTTCTTTTTCTTTGTTTTTTGGTTCTATTTCTGTTATCTTTTGGCTTCGTTTTATTTATTGTGTTATTCATTAATAAACTTTTCTTGCACTTTACATATTTTATTTATTTATATTAATCAATGATATGCACATGAAAAATACTGTATTTTGATTTTTATTAGTTCGATAGTGAAAGAATGTTTGAATTGTTGTTTTTCTTAGTCTTGTAGTCAAGAAATTACTGAGAGAATAGATTTCAAATATAATAGTGGAACGTAGGTTATGTATGATGTTGAATTCGAATAGTAATACGAGAGTAGTTAATATGACCTTTGAGAACTGCTTTTTTCTGGGACATAGATTTTGCTGGGTCAAAAACTTTTTCAATAAAATTTGTTTTTTAATTCACCCATCTTGTAGAGTACACAAAACTACTAAAAGAACCTGTCATTTAAGTTTTTCTATTCTTTCTCTAAATAAAAGAATACAGCTAGGTCTTTACTTCGGGAACTCGTTTTAATTATCTAGCTGCTCAACAGATAGGCCTAAGGTAGTGGAAGTGTGTGGTGTGGATCATCTTTCTATTCATCCGCATCTCACGATATAAAATCCTAGTTGTATTCTGTTGTTTAGAGAAAGAAAAGAAAAATTTTAACGATAAATCAAAACTAAGTCTATAATTCGATCAAAAAATCGATCTGCAAAGAGAAAAATTAGTGTCCTATTAGTAGTTTGGTACGCGCTACAAAATGGATGAATCAAAAATAAATTTAGCCGGAAAAGTTTTTTATCATGTAAAACTTGGTTTCCTAGAAAACTAACTCTCAGAGCTTATATTAGTCATTCTCGTGTCGATATTCGAATTCAGCATGAAAAATAACCTATAGGTTACTATATTCCAAAGCTCTAGCGATTTAAAGTTGGATTTGTTTCCTTGTTAACTTTTACTTGCTCTCTAATGACATCGTTAATGAAAAGAAACGGAAAAGTATATATAGTAGATCAATTTCCATTTGTTGGTGATAGATAGCTATATTAGTATAGTTATTTTCCTGTTCAAAATTATTGAGAATAATTGAAGAACACAAGAAAAAATGTTTTATTGGTAATAATTCTAAACGAAAAACAGTATCAAGTTTCATTTTGTAGAATGATCTAAAAAATAAATCATATTGATATCAACTACAAAATATAAAGAAAAAAAACAAAAGAAAGAAGTTTTCTTGTTCAAAATTAATTTAACAGTTAATCATCTAATAGAATATAAATGTTTTTTTTTCTTTTCTTAGTTATTCCAGACATCGAATAAGATAAAACATTAAATTTTGTGATATCGTGCTGTGACATTATTATTGTTGCACGCTATGCCATTCTTAACAAACGAATAAAAAAAAAAGAATATTATTTCTTAATTGAACTTATGCACACTGTATGACGTAATTTACACAAAATATAGATTAGAATATGCTCAGCGCGCAAATTTTTGTTGATGTTAAAGTTCATAAGAACTTACCATTGTATCACAATGATTATTATTCCTGTAAACGATCGGAAGCTGTTAGTGCAATTGCTGCGAGATTAAAATGTGAAACATGATGTACTTGCTATTGCTCATGTCTTCTATCTATTGTGAGACACATTTCTTCATCATCCTTTTACTTAGCCATCTAGAATTGTAATAAGATACTTATAATGAGATATTATTCATATACGATGTGTGGTGGATGTATGCAAATTTCCACTCTATATACCTGAATCAAGGGTAAAAAGCATATTTCGTACTTCTTATATTTTCTGATACTTCTCCAAACTGGTGTTTTATTCAACATGGAGGCCGGAAGATTGGTACCTCTCAAGAGGTCAGGTTTGCTCTTCCGGAGTTCGGAATCATTGCGATATATATTATGTTGTTCACTCTTCCGAAATTTGAATCGCCCCATCGTGAGAGGAAACCTTAATAAAACAATGCTCCAAACTTCTTCATGTGTCTGCAAACACGTGTAATTGTTTTTTTAATTATCTTCTGTACAATAACTATAATGATCTTACCGAAAATACTTCATTTTTCTGTAAATTCCTTAATATTTCTCAATATGTCACAGTACTTCTGTACTTCCGTATATTTAGAAAATACAGAAGTATGCTTTTTCCTTCCTTGACTTCAACATTTCTTTTAGATCGTTTTTCACGAAACTAATTTTTTTTTGACTATTTCTCATATAACTCACGTGAAAAATTCTAACAAATGGTAATGGTGATGATTTTTCAGAAATTTGTATGAAGATAGATATTTTAATTATTATTAAAAAAATAAAATCATCTATATTCTAGATATTATTTTAAATATGGCGCGATTTTGTTTGAACAATTTATCAAGAGAACAAAAAATTTTTTATTTTAAAAAGCAAAAAAAAAAAGAAAAAAAAATCTTCCACAGCAACAGAATCTAAATGATAAATCATTCGCCTTTTTCAATAACGATTCGATAAAAAAAAAAAAGAATATTCTACTTAAAAAAAAAACCTCTGTTCTATTTTGTTCGTGTCCTTCAATTCTTCTTAATTTTCAAATCTAATTTTCTTTTTCTTTCAATAATGGCTTGTTCAAAAGCTGAAGATTTAATTAATCAATTAATTGAAGCAACATTAAAATTATTAGATTTTGGTTTAAATATAATGGATGCATTACGTGTACAAAAATTATTAACAGTCCGTAATCAAAAAATTGGTTTAATTAGTGATGATGCTTGTTTACCTGAATGTAGTCTTCATTTTTCACTTAATTTTGATTTAATGATGTTTAATAAATTATTACGTAATGCATGTCTACGTGCACGTGCAACACTTAATGAATTACGTGTTTGTCGACTTCGTTATCCAAATGCTCCACTTGTACTTGAACCAAAAACAAAAGTTAAATTTCAGAAATTACAACGAAAAATTCAAGATTTTGATGAATCTGTTCGATCTGATAAAATGATAGCACGTCGTGATCTTCGAGATTTTCGTGAAATATCAATTATTTTTACACAATTAGAACATGATTTAAAATTACTTATATGTAGTTTGGAATGTGCTAGTACAATGAAAGATACAGTTTTATTTGCTGCACCTATTACAGATGTTATGACAGTATTATCAATTGTTCTTAGGCGATTAGTAAATAATTTATTAATTAAATGATAATCAATATATTTCGTATTTCTTTTTGTTTTTTTTATTATTTATGAATAGGAACGTTTAGCACAAAAAGCTGAAATTGATGAAAAAATTGCTGCAGCTGAACGACAAAAAGATTTACAAGAACAAAATAATACACAAATAAAAGGATCAAATTCTTCTACACCTTATCAACGACAAAAATCAACTTCACCAATAACAAGAAATCATACGAGCGATGTTTTATTTAATGGAAAAAATACAAATCGTACATCACAACAACGTCGACGACAGGATATGACAGCAATTATTGCAGCTGCTAGTCAACAAAATAAAATATTCAATCATGAAAAAAATTCTATTCAAAGTGATATATCACAAATAATTCCATCAGATAAAAGTTTCAAAGAAAGGTTTGAAAATTTATTAATTAAAAAAATATCATCATGAGGATGTTTTTTTTTGCATGTTTTTTTGCTTCAATAAGTATTTGACTGGGTCTATGACAATTGGTCACCATGCTGAAAAATAAAATCAACAAAAGAATTTACTTAGTATTATAGAGAAACAATGCAGAGTACACGAGAGTGCGTAGTAGTAATTGCTTTAAAAAATTTCCATAATCCTATATAGTTTTTCCTTATTTTGGAGCTTTTGTCTGCTGCAGTTTTCGTTTTTTTCGTCATATTTCGATAGATTCAAAATGTAACTGTCAACATTCAATAAACGTTTACCAACGAAACCATGTGTGAATCTATTCCATAGGATATGTATTCATTTTTTACATGCCATTCTGATCCTTGCACGATGCAGATATGTGATTCAATCATATATCTGCAAACTGAAATTTGTGAGAAGTGAAATAGGAATTATACTTTTGTCAAACATGCGACTAATTGTTATAGCGCCCATGTATCGCTGCGTTCAATTGTCATTTTTACATTTTTAACATAACAAATTCAAACTTTTTTCCTACCCACATAATACTAATCTCATAGACATTTTCGTTGTCTAACTAATAGACAAGAGTTCAATATCTTAATTCATAAATTTCGATGACATTTGGATTAATTCGAACCTTAATTGATTGAGTATTATTTCAAAACGTAAAATAGTATTGTAAATTTTAATCTTATAGAGATTTAAATGAAAGAATTTTTTTTCAACTTTTATTGAAAGCAATAAATGTCAAAAATTTTCTATTAATAGATTACAGTCTACAAGTATTATATAAAACAAAGAACATATGCTCATGTGAATTCATTTTATATTGTCTTTCATGCGAGAAAAATCTCTCTCATTCATCAAAACTTAAAAGATTGTTACTTCTATTTCTCTAGTGTTACAAACAGAATTTTTTTTTGTTTGTTGCATGCAGAGTTCAATAACGTTACACACTAATCCCCATTTTGTTACTTTCGATCGATTAATTCAATCTGTAGTATTTGAATTATGTTGCATGTTGTTTTTTTTGTGATAACATGCAATCTTCAATAACAAATGTTTTGTTGACATTTGGAACGGTTTCTCCACAGTAATTCTTCTACAAAAAAATAACTGATATATACATTAAAAAAATGTTTTTTTATGCCAACGGTAATTTGTTTTGCACTTCATATGTAAACTCTTTAGTGTTATGTTTAATAATAATTAAGTATAGGAAATATTCAAGACACAAACAATTTGATGAAAGATTTTTTGTTGACACAATCAAAGTTTGACTTTCGTCTGAGTGATTATTACATTTTCTAATTTCATATATCGACAGTTCTTCAAGTGTATATCTAATTTTAACTCAATGATTGCCTTAAAAAATGTTTTTCTTTTCATTTACTACATCACTCATACTTCATCTTATCATAAATAAAAAATGAGATCAATAAAATAAGAAATTTGAAAACCAACAGTAATTACTGTTCACGAGACTAGAAATAATTCAATATTTTACATTTGATTATTTTCTTCTCTTTTTTTTTTAAAGTTTATTCTTAATAAACTTTTCAAATAAATTGTATTCTATTATGAAAATTTCTGTTTTTCATAGTAATTCAATTGAAATAAATAATAATAGAAATGATTCAAATTTATGTAAACCTATTAATCGTCATTATACATCAATTAAATCAAATATTTCACGACATTTAAAAAAAATTGTACCATCATCAATTGAAAATATTCCATCAAATCATCGTAAAATAAAACAATATCGTAGTGAATTTATACAAAAATGGACTAATGATGCACGTCATATATATGCAAGAAATCATATAATACATTCATCGAATATTTATTCAGATCAAATGATTAATACTGATTTAGAAAAAAAAATTCGATATGAACAACAAAAATCAACACATCATCATCATCATCATCATCATCGCCATTCTCTTTCATCTTCATCACCTATTAATAATAGTAGTTATACATCATCATCTTCATTATTGAATGAATTATATAATAAGAATAAAACAAAAGCACAATCATCAAATTCAACTAGTCATTTATCAATGATTAAAAATCGATTGAATAACAAACATAAAAATACATCATCAAATAATAGTGCTATTGTTTATCTTGAATCTCAAAAACCACATGATAATATTGAATGTAAAATCAGTTAAATTCTTAATATAAGATTGACTTTTTTTTGCTTTATAACACTTCTATTAATCGTATATAGAAGAAAAATTATTGAAGTCATTAACTACTTCTCTCTTTTTTTTTTCTTTTTTTACTTCTTATTGATTTCATATTCATTCTCTTTTTACATCCGATGTTAAAATAAGTATATTATTGTAATTGTGAGAGAAATTTATTGTATCGTTAATGTGTAGACAATCGTGAAAGAGAGAGAGAGAGAGAAAGACAACGAAGAAAAAAAATATGCATAAACGAGACATTTTATTCCGATTCAGATGGTTGTTTGACGACAGTCTAGATATACGAAAAAAGCGAAAGGCACACATATGTACATAGACAAATAAGCGAACGCATATGCACACGTAGTTTTGTCTATTACTGCGGATTGTTTTAGACCAGTGACATGACCAGTATAATAGCAGCAGTGAATGACATGTAGGTCTTACTATTCTTTTTTTAATATTCTTCTTCTTTCTTTTCATCACACCATTCATTGTCAAGTGGAAATGGATTTTCTTTTCTCTGTAATAATAATGTTATGTTCTTGCGTCTTTTTTTTCTCTTTTTTTTCTTGCATGCAATTTAAGTATACTACTACCACAACTTGAAAAGATGTATGTATATTTATAACTGCAAAAGAAAAGCATAATGATGTCGCAATCAAATTGAAAAAAAAATGAATATAAAGGCGTACGTACGTATATAATTGTTTAGTGAGCAAGCGTATATATGTGTACATTGGTACATGTTTAACGAGTTTCAAATTGTTTACTCGAACGAAAAAAGAGTGGGATACTTTCAATGATATTGTTGATAATGATTGCTTGGATTAACTATAGAATATTTGTCAAGTTTAAGTAAAGAAAAAAGAAAGAACATTCACTTTTGCCTTTATAGATCATTAATTTATTTTCTTTTTTTTTATTTTTTAGATGTCGAAAAAAACAATTGTTAACACGACAACTAATCTTATATTAAATATTCATGTACGTCCAAATGCAAAAATCAATGCCATACGTGAAATAAATTCTAATAATGATATACGTATCGATATAGCTGCGGATGCACAAGATGGTAAAGCAAATCATGAATTAATTAATTATATTAAAAATATATTAAAAATTTCTTCAAATCAATTAGAAATTATACATGGACATAAACAACGTGATAAAATTTTACGTATATTAACAACAACAAATGAAAATCAGAATGATTTAATTGAACGTCTTCGAAATGAAACTATATCGAAATAAAATATATATATTGTTGCTATTCTTTCGTTATTCTATACAATCAATATATCATATTTCATAAATATGTATTTTTGTTGCTGTTGTTTTTTTTCTTTAGATTTTATATGCGTATAATTTTGTTTCATCAAACATGTCTGTCCTTGTATCAACATTAACAAATAATAATCATAATAATCATCATCATCATCATCATAATTCTTCTTTTTTTTCTAATAATACAAATCGTCGTATTAATGGAAATATATCTCAAATACAACAAAATCGTTTAACAACAAATACATTAAATGAACATGATCAAGATAGTGATCATGTACCATTTGGTGTTGTTAATTCAATGAAACAACGTTTACTTAATAAAGTAAATGAATCTTATGTATTAAATAATAATTCAACATTAGTACGTCATTCATTATTAAAACAATCAGCACGTATAGCATCAAATGAAAATTTACTTCAAACAAAAACATCATTATCACCATTAAAACGTACAACACGTTTATCACGTAGTCAAGATAATTTAACAAATAATAATAATAATAATAATAATAATTCAATAAATTATATATCTGCTCAAATAATATCAACAGAACAATTTACTTCATATATACAACCAAAACAAGATGTAATTATTGTAGATACAACAACGAATAGTAATCATATTGATGATAATAATAATGATGGAAAATTACGTGCAGGACAGAAAACATTATCACATCGACAATCATATACTGAATTACATGTTGATGAAGCACCAAAACCTGGTATGTTATATACACTAGGAAAAAAAATATATATGATGCGATATAGAATTTGAAAAAAAGAACTTCGTGCATGCTACGAAACCTAAAAACAGAATGTACGAAACCTATAAAACGTTTCCTAGATCCATGATAAGTATTTCGAAAGGTTTCGTACACTAGTGCGAAACCTAAAAAGGATTTTGAATTGATTTTGAGAATCGAAATCATTGTTTTTTTTCATTTTCAGTGTAATTTCGAAACGAACTGAATATGATTATTGATTTGATTATTAAAAATTTAAATAAAAGAGATGTAATATAGAAGGAATCATATATACACTATTCACTAAAAGTAATATAGCAGAACAAAGTAAATCACATATCTTGTGTTAAAGTTGAACACAGAAGTTACAAGGAAAGGTACCCAATAATAAATCACTGATCGAAATGATATTTTGTTTATAATGAGACTAGTAGAAGATTAGAAGAAAGTTAAATTTTTTTGTTGATAAATGAAGCTTCTGTAGGCTTGAGAAAAAGGAATATTAAAGAAAATCGTTGAAATCCGTCTGAATTTTAACTAATCTATCAATACACATTGATATTAACCAATGAGAGATATGTCTCAAAAAGAAAATGTATAACTCAATCAGACAGATGATTTCATATAAAATATTTGAGAAATTGAAGGTGAGACATATAGTACACAAATGAATATAGCTGAAAGACTGAAATCGGAATGTTACAAGATCTAAGTATTGTCTTATTCACTGCTGTGTTATTGAACTTCCTATAGTATATGGATCAATGTCTTGAATTATGATTCATTGTGCTTTATTTCCAAACAAATTCTCAGCTTCAATATTGGCTATTTTGGTTACTTTTACCTGATATTATTACTTTTGATCCGTCTTGTATTAAACTAAAGAAGAAAACTAGTTTGCAATCAACGATTTCCAATATAGACAGAGAGTATCATAGTGAAAAGTCCATGTCTTTCACATTCGCGATTTAACTGCAAACGAAAAAACTTCAAAAAAAGAAAAACTCCATGTTCGATACACTAATATTGATTGAATTGAAACCAATCACAGCAGAGTTTATAAATATACTCAAAAATATTTTTCTATCTATCTATTAAGTTTATTGTAAAGTAACAACTACACACACACACTTTTGTTCAAGTGACTTACATCTAATTATGCATATCCTAAAGTTTTGGACAATAAAAACTCTTCATAAAAATTCTTTCTTAAGCTCTAACTAGAATTTCTGTTAACGGTATTCTTTCTAAGGTTTCTGGAGAACAGCTCATCAGAAAAATTTGAAGTTTTCAGAACAATTAAAAGAAAAGATGTCATAGACTCAAAGTTCCCCGATACCATCTTCTATAAGATACTGCGATTACAATTTTCGTTCGCGTTTCTCCGAGATACTATGTTCGATCGAGCTGGAAAGTTTTTTTTTTACAAGCATTAGACACTGATTGGAGTGGATTTGTTTTTATCTTTTGTCCTTCAAATAGAAAGGACAAAATATCGAAGATTTCCTAAAAAATCGTAATCTTTTCTTTTTTGTATAGAGCTACCAAAAATCATCAGAATAATATTTTTTGAAACAAAAAGAAAACATCCATCCCAAACAGTGTATAGTATATATGAAGAAATTTTCAGCTCGATCTGACGTATTAAGCAGCTGGAGAATCGTGGAAGTTTCTGCACTTTTTGTTCATGAAAAAAGTTGGTTTGAGAAATACGTGACACAACTTTGATTTGATTTTTTAACGTTTAAAGATAAATTTTAAATCTTAAAATGTACTCAATAGATAGATATTACTTCAGACTAAACAATGGTCACAAAAAAAAATGCTTAAACGATATTTTCTTTGTATTTAAATTAGGTACGGTTACAACCGTTAAAAATATGTTTGAACGACAAATACGTTTAAGTCGTTATGATGCCGATAAACTTATCAATGCAATAATACCAGGTAATAATTCTCGTCTAAATAGTCAACATCGTGATATTTCAAGTCCAACACGTTCACGTAGTACATCACCAAATGATATGGCTATAAGACAACGACGAACAACTATATCTGGATCTATATTACCATCATCATCATCAACAACATTATCATTACCTGTTTCATCATCTTATCCTGATCTTGTTATATCTCATACACCACCAGCAGAAACAAATAAAAATTCTAATGAACAAATTCATAATGAAAATCATACAGTTAATAATCAAGTAATAAATAAAGAAAAAAAAATATCAAATATAAATCGTAATTTAATATCACATGAACATATTCCATTAAGTGTTATTATTGATGAATGTTCATCAAATCAATCAAATAATCATCGTCCAAATCTTTTACTTCCATCAAAATTAGTATCTGAAACTGTTGATTGTCAACCATTAGATTTTAAAAGTCGTTTAGCTTTATTTAATCGTACAAATACACAACGAATAAATGAAAATTCAATAAATATTAAAAAATCTTTTAATCAAACAAATTCATTATCAACAAATCTTTTAACAAAACCTATTGTTCAACATTCAACGCGTTTAATAAATGAAGAAAAAAAAGATACACAAATAGATATAATTTCTCATCCAGTATCAATACCAATATCTCGATCAGTTGTTAATACAGCTAATGCTGTGACATTTTTTGGTGGAAATAAAGTAAATGGAAATACAAAATCATCATTACCAGATACAATACTTCCACCACCACCGCCACAATCATCATCATCATCAGCAGCAGCAGCAGCAGCTGAAATAAATATCAAAAAAGAACAATCAACATCGATTGATTTACAACGTGCACCTGATATTATTGGTGGAAATATTAAATTAAATAAATCATCAATTTTTTCAGGAGCAAAAAAGGTTGTTATTGTTTTATTTGAATAATCTTTTCAATATTTTGTTTTTCAGAATATTCGAGTACAATTTATTGATGATGTTGATACATTTGAATATCCTTCATTTGAAGTTGTTATGGCTGAACATGGTAGTAATGGTTCAGATGATGATAATGATATGGAAGTTAATGATAATCTCACAAATGTTACTAGTAATGGTGATAATAATCATAATATAATGAAAAATAATATTAATGGAAAAACTAATGATAAAGAAGACGAATTAAACGATAATAATAATCAAGTTGATGATGTTGATGATGATGAACTTGAACGTTTAGCACGTATTAATGCTGAATTTAATACGAATAATCTCACAGAGAAACCATTAAAACCAAAGGGTAAAAATTTTGTATCAGAAAAACAAAACATTCTGATATTTTATACTTGTTAAAAAAAAATAATAATTGACCTTGAGGACTTTTAGTCTTTCATAAAAGAATTAATATTAGATGAAGAAGCTTTTTATGAAGAAGTCAAACAGCGATGTGCTGAACCGATTTTGATATTAGTAAACATGCCTAACAGAATTAAACACTAGCCAACTTTTTCTGTCTCTCGAGAGAACTCATCCAACTGATAATATCTATTTGAACTCATATTTTGCTTATAATGTGGATAAAAATTATTAGAAGAAAAATCGTAACAAAGAGTTTCGATCTGAAATTTTCCCCAACAATAGCTCTCATGCGCATTGCAGTATCCTGAAAGTTTTAGCTCAAACAAATGTTTCTCTTCCGAGACAACATGTTTGCAAAGAAAACGTTACTTTCACATAAGAGCTTCAAAAATAGCCTAGTTTTTAAGCATACACTATCTTAAGGAGAAATCATTCGTTTCAGCTGAAACTCTCAGGATACCATAATGAGCATAAGAGCTACTTCTTCAGGAGAATTTGAGGCCAAAACTTCTTGTTGCGATTTTTCTCGTGATAATTTTTATCCATACTATGAGCAAAATATGAGTTCAAATGTGGATTATCAGTCGGATGAGTTCCCTCGTCAGTCTATTCTGTTGATTAGCACAGCAGGTGGCGTACAACCAATGATGAGTTAGACCAGACGTCGCCCTTCAGCCAAAAAAGCAATTATCGTCATCATTTACACAGTATCAAACGAATTTTTTAAAATCTTGACTACTGTCCCGCCACCCACGATTTTATGGCTACGCTATTAACAGCGGAACAACGAAAACACTTGTTTTGGCTTCTCATCACCAAAATACATATTAATTGAGTATTTACGGTATAGAGTGTGCTGCTTAGAATGAAACAAGATCCTCACCAATATACGTTCGTTGTCAGCACGTATCAAGTATCACTGATA